CCAGAGTCTCATCAAGATCAATGCTGAAATTAATGGCAACACTATACCTGCGGTCATCGACACCGGCTCTATGATCAACATCGTGCACAAGACCATCTGGGAACAATACATCAAACGACCTCTCGACAGATCTGTTACCTTCCCGGTAAAAGATGTCAATGGCGGAACAGGACGACTAATTGGCCTGGTTGGAGAAGTACCTATCGACTGCGGAAGAGCAAGGACGATCGCCCAATTATGGGTATCGGATTCTATTGACTTCCCTCTTTTGCTAGGGCGACCTTGGACATCCTCAAATTCGGTCGATATTATCGAACGGGACGGCACCTACCTCATATTCAACTACCCGGAACACAATGTGCAACTCGAACTCAAGGTCAGTACGGACTCGGACGACAACACTAATATTTCACAGACCATGGGCCTTACTACGGACAACGGACTTAGCGAAAATCGCGAACGCGCCGGGCCGGAACGTCACCGGTGGCGTGAGAAGCCGCCGCAAGACGCGCCTCACGTGCTTGCCACGCGACTACCGGTCATGGAGGAATGCGACACTCGATCTTATCTCTCAGCAACACCGCCACCCCGACGCCCGACCACCAACACCGACGATCTTTTGGACGACATTGCCGCTCCTTCAAACTCGCAACTCGCCCGCGCCCAGTCAAGAGGCGACTCTACGGACCTCGATTACGACGAATGCCAACGCGTTCAGGCGTATATTGACGCGGCCATCCGGCCGGGTCAAGGTACGCCTCATGCCCATTCGGATTCCCCGGATCTCGCCGCCGTTACTGACCATCAGCAATTCCTTCTCAGTCTAGGAGATCCTTATCGCGCCCGCCTCTTCACTCGACCACTGCGCGGCGGGGAATGGACGCCCCTCGAAGACTCGATCGCCCATCTCCCAACGGGGATGCGCAGGCTACTAGGTACGTACGGCTCCTTCGAAGTAACGCTCACCACCTCAGACAATAGGCGGACGCGGGTCCTCGTCACCTTGGCGCACCCTCGAACGGCTCCCGAACACACGCCCTCGCCGGATTTGGCCCGACTCCATCAAGAACCCACCGATATAGATCACCGGCACGACCTCGACTTACCTCCTGAAGCCTCATCCGGCAGGATCGACTCACGCGAACGCCTTCAAACACCCAGCCCATCTGACAACAACGATCCGCTCCATTGCTCGTCTTCCCCTCTCGACCTCCACCATGCTCACCGCGGCAGAATCGTCGAACTCGACGATGCCGGTGAGTACACCGGCAGCACTCAAACCCTATCCGACTCAAACACCTCTAGGCACCCGGCGCGTCCATTGCTCCCTAGCACAATAGCTGGCAGACCGCCGCCAGCGGTCACCTCGATTCTCGAACCGACGATACCCACCACCACCAGCGACACCAGCGAGCTCCCACCAGTCGAAGCCGACCATGAACGCTACCCCGACTCGCGAACCGAAGAGACGCCCGCTACGCCTAGGTCTAGGCTTTGCGAGCGCGGACGATCTTCACCGGTACGTACCATTGCAGAATCTTCGAGGACATCGGTGATTTACGATGTCTCCTTGAAGATTCAGTCGTTAGGTACGTGCCGGGCAAAAATTCGGAGCCGCTCGCAGCGAGACCGATGGGTAGAAACCCCGAACCTCGTACGCTCGACTCAAGACCCCGGACGACTCATCGAACACCTCAACGCAGCCGCTCTGTTTCGAGAAGAAGTACACCCGCCTGACGGATCGAACGCGGTATTGTACATCATTGTCGCGCCCTCTCCCTACGCTAACGAACACGACGACTCTTCAGCCGACGGTAGCGGAACAAACACACCGGATCGGCTACAGGATGTACCTCCCGAAGATCCCCGCAGATGGCCGCCGTCCTTTCGACGCTCCGACCAGATGCCGCACTCCCCTTGCGAGCGGGACACGGGGTTACCACCAGACGAGCCTAGCGAGGATATCAGAAGCACGAAGGGCATGACGACGAGGTATACCCGGTACCCCATCTCATGTTCTCTGCAGGCTAATCCGAGCGGCGTCCCTTTCCTGCAGCCTGTTCGGTACCGCTCTGCCGAGATTGGAAGCCGTCCGTTCGCGACACGACTAAACGGAGACGAGGCATCGACATCGCGAAACCTCGCGCACCACCCAGACAATACCGCGGACGACTCCCAATGGCAAGATACCCTCTTCGACTCCCGAACCAGGGCGCTGCGCAGGACGATCGGTGAGTTCGCTCCATGCCAACAGAACCAGTCGGCGCGAGGCAAGGCTTACCCAGGCGCAATCCAGGCAGGCTTTGACTCTCAACGAGGAAGGACGGCCCCACTCGACGGCAAGACTGTGGAACCATCGCTCGTCAGGCTCGCTATGCAATCCTACGGCCTTCTTCGGCAACCCATACGACTCACGCACGGAACCATCGGTCCAGGCTCTCGCGACGAGCATAAAAGCTTAGGTGCGTGTCTGGACACCCAAGTCACCAGAAACACTCGCTTACCCTTCGCTAGTCTATCAAACTGCACGCCTCACTCGAATCCGCCCCCTATGTCTCATGCGCAATCCAAGGTTCCGACGACGACCCTCGCGCTCGATGCGTACCCGTCTCCGCCTCAAGAAACGACTTCTCCACTGGATTCTTCGCCCTCGACGACTCTCTCGCAACGGCCCACACCCGGCTCCAACGCGACAGTCAACAGACCGCTCGATATAGGACTCAAGGACAATATGATGTACACTACTCGTACCCCCCTCTCTGACGCTGAACTCACAGAAATTCTTCGGTTTGGCAGAGAGGAGGGCGGCTGGACTCGCCTTCCGGACCCGATTTCCCCTTCGCCGGCGAAGATCTATGCTCCGCAGCCCCGCCCTGCTACGAACCCCGACACCTCGTCGAACACGCTACACGCCGGCTCTATACAATTCCCGAGCACACCGCACCCACTCACCGGACGCGTCCTCGACGACGAAGACTATCGGCCCATCATCACGGAGGCCGAAGGAATAAGCGAAGATGTCGACTTCCCTGGGTACTACCGGGCAGCCGGTTGCCTCATCCCTCTCGGCGACCCTCTATTCAGCGAGAATCGGTTCAAAGCCCCGATCCGTGCCGAATCGCCCCCATTCTACCCAAACTCGATCCATCTCCTGATGGCCTCCGACCGCTCGT